CTTTTTGTTGCGGTACATTTCTTCTGTAGCTGATCTGTGGAGCATATCATGAAAGGGTGTTGAATTTTGTCACATTTTTTCAACATCTAATGAGATGATCGTGTGATTTTTATTTTTTGTTCTGTAGGTGTGATGTGTCACATTTATTGATTTGTGTATGTTAAAACATCATTGCATCATAGATATAAAAGTTATATGATGATATGTGATTGAAAAATACATTGTTTTATTTTTTAAAGAATTTACTACAACAAAAGACATTATCATTAAGCCCCTCAAAATACTCCCTTTCACTGCAGTCACACTTATTCCGTCATTCTCAGCATTTTCTGAAGCAGTGTCTTCTTTCATGGGAGTTTTTAATTGTGCTGTTGGCTGCCTCTATGCCTTGAATCAGTCCAAAGTGTTTACCTTTCATGATAATTTTGGCTTTGGGTTAGAACTGGTAGTTTCATGGTGCCAGATCCAGTGTATAGAGTAGATGAGGAGCACTGTGTTTTACAGCCTGTCTTCCCTTTTTTTTTTTTTTTTTTTTTTACCAGTACTGGGGATCGAACTCACAACCGCCTGCTTGCAAGGCAGGTGCTTATGCCGCTGAGCTAAATTCCCAGTCCCCCAGCCTGTCTTTCAGTACCCGTGAAGACATGAAAGAGGATTTAAAAAATGCTTCAGAGAGCAGCAAGAACACTAATTGACAGAGGGGTAGTTGTTGGGGGATTAATGGCAGTGTGTGTTTCCTATTTTTTTTAAATTTTAAATATTCATATATTTTGGGTTTTTTTTTTTTTTTTTTTTTTTGTCTTTTTCATTTTTATCGGTACCAAGGATCGAACTCACGACCGCCTGCTTGCAAGGCAGGAGCTTATGCCGCTGAGCTAAATCCCCAGCCCCAATGTTCATATATTTTGATCATACTACATATAATCATTTTAATGAGCTAATGAATTTGGTTTACTGGTATTTTATTAAGGATTCTTTTGGTAGTGATTTAATCTAGGGCCTAAGCAGTGAAGTAGCTATGTCCTTGCCTATTTATTTGTTTGTTTATTTACTTATTTATTTTTTGAGACCAGATCTCCTGTGTATTGTAGGTGGCCCCTGAATTTGCTTATGTAGCTCAGACTGGCCTGGAACTCACAGTGATCCTCCTGCAACTTACAGTGATCCTCCTGCCTCAGCCTCCCACTTGCAAGGATTATAGGTGTGTGCCAGCATGCCCAGCTAGCCCTTTTTAATTCTGAGACAGGATTCCACTAAGTTCCCCAGACTGGCCTTGAATTTGGGATCCATGAGCCTCGGCCTCCCAGAATGCTGGAATTACAGGAATAAGCCACCATACCTAGCTTATTAAGGATCCTTATATCTTTGTTCATTTGGGGATGTTGCCCTGTCATTTTCTTTTCTTTTTTTAATTTTCTTTTCTTAGATTATTTTTGTGTGATTTTGGCATTATGGTAATGCCAGCTTTATAAAGTGGCATTAAAAGTGATGTATAAAATATTGCCCCCTTCTTCATTTTTTTTTTCAGCGTTTGAGAAGACCAGGCATTAATTCTTCTTTAAAACTTGGTTATGATTATGCCGTTAAGCTATATATTCTTGGGCTTTTTTTTTTTTTTTTTTATGAGGTTTTTGTTTTTGTTTTTTGGAACTGGGAATTGAATTCAGGACCCCACACTTCCCAGGCAGACACGATACCACTGAGCTATACACTCAGCCCCTTTTTTATGAAATTTTTGATTATTGATTTAATCAGCTTACTAGTTATAGATCTGTTCCCATGTCATACTCACGATGTTAATTATGAAAGATATATTTCTAGACATGTATCCATTTTTTCTAGATATCCAATTTGCTATATAACAGTTTATAGTAGTCCCTTAGGAGTTTTTGTATTTCTGTATTAGCTGTAATGTTTTCACTTTCGTTTCTGATTGTTTTGAGTCTTCCATCTGTCCTTTGTTTGAGGTATGGTATTGAAATCTCTTACTATTATTTTAATGATTTCTAACCTCTGTTGAATGTCTCAATTTCTTAAAGTATTATTTTTTAAATTTCATTGTGTTGTCTATGTTTTTTGGAAACTCACTGGGCTTTCTTAAAACAATTATGAATTCCTGGTTTTCTTTTGTGTTGGTTCCTGCAAAATTGTCGTGTTTCTTTGGTAGTGTCATGTTTTCTTGTTTGTTTGTTTGTTTTCTATGTCCTTACATTGATATCTATGCATTTAATGGAGCAGTTATTCTTGCAGACTTTTGGATCTGTTTCTGTTGGGAAAGACCCTTATCTGTATGTGACTGTGAAGATCCTGGATTGCAGGGTGTGATGGTTCTGGCACTAAAGGAGGACCAGTAGCAGTTTGTGCAGCCCTGTTAGCTGAAATCATTGTCAGCGAGAACCACAGGGATCTGAGGCAGCAGCTATTGGTCTCTCTCTCTTAGGGAATACGGCTTATGGAGTCCATCCTGGCACCTCTTCTGGCTTGTGGGCAGTCTGGACAGTGTTTGTGGTAGTAGCATAGTGTCTGAGGTATGGATTTCTATAGAGCAGTCACAGAGCCAGGGTCCAGAATGTGAGTGTGTGCAGAGAGGCAGTTTCTCTGATGTCCAAGGTAATGGCTAACCTGTAGCAGTGGTAACGTCTGCTGCCTGAGGCACCTAAGTACCTAGTGAGCAGTCTCAGAGTTCTGCTCGGATGTCTGGAGCAGGGATCTGACATGTCAGTGCACGTGCAGCCTGTCAAAGCACATATCGGGGCATAACGAGTTTCACCTGGATGTGCAGCCCTGCCCCTTTTTGGGTGGAGAGATGTAACAGTCTTCCTCTCCAGGGAGTCTGCAGCAGCAGCACTTGCTCCTTATGGTGACTGAAGGCATCACTGTCTTCTGCAGACTAAGGTTGCCGAGTTCAACACCAGTGAGAACCATGAGGTCCTTCACTTTGAAGCCTACAGGATATCTGTGGTTGTCTCAGGCTGTTTGAGTTCTTCAGTGGCAACGGCTGCTGGGGTCTTCTCCAGAGTAGGCCACCAGGGATGATAATGCTCCAACACAGGGTTGATACAGACAGCTCCTGCCCTTCTTTATTTCTAGCCGTCTCCAGGTGTCTGCTAAGCTCCTCTCTGCAGTGATCCTTTCTTTGTATTTATTTGTTCCATTTTTTTCTTCATTGTATTGTTGTAGGTTAATTGGACCCTCTTAGAGCTTTGTTCATAGATAGTGTCTTGGTTTTTGTGGTAGGAAGAAGGATAGCATCTATTATTCTGTCATCTTGACTATGTCATTCTTGTAAACTTTTAGTCTGTGGCTTATCATTTCATTTCTTCAATAAGGTCCTTTAAAGAGACTGTATTTTAAATTTTGATGATGTTTTATCATCCATGTATTATGTTTTGGCTTACCTACAATTTTTTCTCTTTTTCTTTCTTCTCTCCCTCCCCTACCCTCTCTACTTTCCCCTCTACCCTTCCCCCTTCTTCCCTCTTCTTCCTTTGTGCTGGGGATTGAACCCATGCTCAAGAAATTTACCCATGGGACACCAAGATTGAAGAAACAAGTAAGGTTTAGTAACACAGCAGTGGTCTGTCAGCTTAGGCTATTGAAATTGCTGCCTACTGGGGCTGGGGATTTAGCTCAGCGACATAAGCACCTGCCTTGCAAGCAGGTGGTTGTGAGTTCAATCCCCGGTACCAAAAAAAAAAAAAAAAAAAGAAATTGCTGCCTACTGACTGGCTGGCAACAATTCCTTTGTTCTCTTTTCTTATAGACCCCAGTATAACTTTATAAGGTCAGAAGGGTACCGTGGATATTACCTTTTTACAGCACTACCATTGCTTTGGAATGTGAAAAGACCATATACTTGCTTAATTGACACACAGAATGTAGGTACTGGGCAGTTTGGTCACCTTGAGAAAAAAACCTGTTTTTTTCTCCTTTTTGTAGTTTTTATGGCCAATTAAGGGAGAGAGGAAGGCTTTTTGGGGATTTGGCCAAAGTTTACTCTCTGTTTGAGGTCTAACTAAGCATCTAACTAAGCATCTAAAACTATAATCTGTAGGCCATAAAATAAGTGAAATTTTCAAGACTAGGGTGTGGGGGGTTCCGAAGAGAGAAAAGGGCAAAGTAAAAGAATGCGAGTACTGGTGGGCTTTGAACGCCCTGTTGCTGTAGCTAAGCAAGTCCTCATGTCTGCTTTTTCTCTCGTTTTTTTCTTGAAATTTTAGTTTAGTTTAATGTTACATACTGAACGAGCGTAGGCCATGGTTTATGTTTTTGTTTTCACCTTTATTGCATATACATATCCATTTGTCTAGCACCATTTATTGAGAAAAATAGGCAGAATGGCAGTAAAGATTACATGACCTTTCTAAAAACACCTTTGAGAACCTTGTTAGTTTCAAGACACATCCTTGGGGAATATTGTCACAGTATGTACAGATGAAAATATTTGATTTTGCATTTTGTGGAATGATTGAGGTGGATTTTGTTTAAATAGAAGCATGAACACTGGAAAAAGATTAGCAGGGTAAGATATTAGGGATATTGAATTAATAATTTCTGAAATAGGGACTGGGAATTTAGCTCAGTGGCATAAGCGCCTGGCTTGCAAGCAGGCAGTCATGAGTTCGACCCCCCGTACAAATAAAAAGGAAAAAGACAAAAAAAAAAAAAAGAGTTAAAAAATAAAAAAGTAATTTCTGAAATAGTTAAACCTGGAAAGTAAATTGTCTCTAACAGTTTTTCAAATGTCAACTTGTGCCCTTTTTTAGGTCCAGACCTTTTCTTTTTTGGTTGGCTATGTTAATGGAATGATAATATTGGAATTATCAAAAACACAATAAAAATGTATAAGGATCTTTTTTGTTAAATATATGTATCTATCAGATTGTGATGTAAAATTTGTTTTTGTTTTGGATTACAGTCAAGGTTTGAAAGCTGCTTAACCTAAAATTACACTTTTCATAGGAAACAGTTTTAAAAATATTTTTCCTCTTATGTTTTAGGTGTGAGTTCTTGATACGCATGAAAGGGCAGGAATTTGTTGATGAGATTCAAGCTAGATATCCTCATCTTCTTGAACAAGTAAATAACATTTTTAAAATTAATAATTTTGAATTCTATATAATAAATTCAGAAATGCTGCCAGAAATGATATTTGCATCTTCTTTTCTTCTTTCTGCTGTGGTTTGAACTCAGGGCCTTTATATGCTAGGCAAGATTTCTACCACTGAGCTGTACTCCAGCCTTATTTTCTTATTAACTCTAGTTACATATTTTGTATTCATATTAGTGATACCTCTAACATTTACTTTAGTCACCAACTTATTTCTTCAGGGCTTCTTAAAAAAGATTATTTTTTGTTTCAAATTTGTGAACCTGCCATTTACCCTGCCATTGTGAAGGGATTAAAGAAGGAGCTTTAGTGTCTCTTCTGTCATTTCCAGAATATAAACAAAAATAATTGTTAGAAGTTGAGATCTTTTGAGATAACTCAGTTGAAATCTTACTTTCTAAATGGATTGAAGAACCATTAGTATGCCTTCCTACTCTTCTGAATCAGGAGAAATAGATGAAATTTAAGGAAAGCTGTATGGTAATTATGGTAAAACAAAGCAATGTAAAATGTGCATGTTTACTTAAAGCAAATTTATCTGAATGTTACTGTTCATATCATTCAAGGTTTTTGACTTTTACCTATTTTCTTCTGTTTCATAGCTATTGTCAACTTCAGACACTCCTGGAGAAGAAAATACCGATCCACCAAGTATGTGTGACAGTATTTCAAATACAGAATGAGTATTTTTATAAGAATATTCAGACTGAAATTACTGAAAAGGGAGTATTTTTGAAGTTACAAGAGAAAATATTGAGCAGCTAACTAATAAAATATTAGGTATCATCTAAGAATCATGGCAGTTCAAAGGGCCCAGTTTTCTTTGTATTCACAGTGCTGACATTCCAACTGGGCAGACAACAATGAAATGACAAGTGTAGACAAACCCTCTACAGAGGAAGTGGTGGCTGTGAGCTGGCACGGTTTGAAAAAGGCTCAGTTCACATGATTTAACAACAAGCTAGGTGTTAGGTGTTAAGATCCGATCTATAGTATTTCAGTGCAAGGGTGTCTTTGGAGTAGAATTTAATTTAAGCCACCTCCATGAGTAAATGTGCACTGTGTACATAGTAGTAATCCTTTGATGTGCTTGTCACATCTAGAAAGAGGGATATTGTCAGATTTGTAACTGAAATAGAGAAAAGTAACCAAAGGTAACCAAGATATGTGAGTCCTAAAGTCCTTTACCTGACTCAGGAGGATCAGGTAAAGAATCGATATTATTTGAAAGGATGGAGTACCTGGGTATGTGATAGCTTATCTCCTGTGTAATGGAGATGGGAAAGATTAAATAAGTAAAGGTACTAACTTCTTAATTAAAATTTGAAACTGCTGCTATGCAATGGGCTGCTTGCAATCCTACCATAGTTCCCTAATGAAATCAGTTTGCCATTTAATGCCTGTTACACATTTTCTCTATATGTTTCTGCTTTTTCCCACCTTAATCTTAGTTCATGTCCTAGCTTCACAAAGAAAATGAAAGAATCCCCCCAAAACTGTTTCATCTTCCACCAATAAAACCATCAGTCTACACTGTACATGTTTTCTTCGTTTCCAAAGCATGAACTGTCCTTGCTTTTAATCTAAGCCAGCCCTTCTGCTGCCCTCTGGGTTCTGTTCCCTGCCATGTACTTAGGATTGCTTTTCACCTGTTGTGATGAACAGCAAGAACTGCTGTATTAGCAGATCTGTTACCTGACTCGTTGACTTGTTAATTAGCATTTGATATAGTCAAGTGTTTTACCCTTAACACGGCCTGTTTACTTGACTTCCCTGATACATTCTCTCTTGTGTTTTTCCTATTTCTTTGGTTGATCTTAAATAGTTTTTTTGCTGACTGCTGCTCTTTGAGACTTCTAAATGGTGGAGTACCCTTCATGCTCAGACCAAATTTTTGTTTCCTAGTCACACATTGAAATGTTCAACTTCCTGCTCTTATCTTGAAGATAGTTTTTATCTGTTGTCTATAATAGATGTCTCAGTTAATGTGACCCAAACTAATATTCCTTCCCATCTTACATCCCCCTTTTGCTCCTTTCCCATATTGGTATTTGCTAAGGTTAAAGAGTTTACACCAAGGCCAGGTGTGGAGGTGCATGTTTGTAATCCCAGCATTTGGGAGGCTGAGAAGGAGGGTTGCTGTGAATTAGAGTAAAGTTAGTTCAAGGCCAGCCTAAACTGTGTAGTGAAATCCTGCTCTCAAAAAAAAAAAAAAAAATCACATCATACCCAATTCCTCCTTCTTTCAGTTTACATAACTGATTGTAAATCTTTCTCTTTCTTTGTAATATATCCTAAATCTGATTGCTTCTTTTCATTTCTACTAGTATCAGCCTAATCCTTTCAGTTATCCTTTTCTGCCATATCTTACTAGTTCCCTTAGTTTCATTTTACCTCATTAAAGTTCTTCTCCAGAATCACCTTTTGAAAACACATACCTATCAGTCTCCTGCTTAAAACCTTTTAGAATATTCTAGCAACTTAGAATAAAATGTAGTATAAAGTCTTTGCCATGGTCTCCATCAAATGAGCATTTTCCTCTCTAAGGTTCTGCCTTCTGTTTCTAGATTGTCAAACTTTTCCTGTGTTCTATGGCTTTTACACTTCTGTTCTCTTTGCCTGGATTTCTTTCAGATATTCCAATAGCTCACTCCTTATCATAGAAGTTCTGAAGTTTTTGCTTGCTTACGTGCTTGTGTTTTGAGGTGCTGGGGATTTTGGTGCTGCAAGGTTGCTCAGTATACATTTCCAACATTGTACATTTATATGTTTATTATAACACTTTTCCAGCAGGTGGCATCAAAGTCTCTCAGTAATACTGAATTTTACAGACGTGCCATGTGAAACTAGCATTGACCCTACCCATTTTGAGAAAATGCTTCCCTAATCACCCTACCTAAAAGGGCCTTTTGCCATATAGTTTCTTTTAATCCCTTTATACTGGGTTTTTGTTTTTGTTTTTCTAATTCAGTGTCAGTGTCTACCAAAAATCATATTTTGCTTACTACTGGTTTTGTGTTATTTATTTATTTGTGTGTGTGTGTGGGGGGGGGTGGGTGTGGGTGTGTGGGTGGTGGTTTTAAGATAGGGTCTTGCTATGTAGTTCAGGCTGGCCTTGAATTCTTTGTGTAACCCAGGCTAGCCTCAGACTTATGGCAGTCCTCCTGCCTCAGCCTCCCAAGAGCTGGGATTACAGGCATGAACCACCATATCTGGCTGGTTTTGTGGTTTTTTGCATATTTTTTTTTTCCAGGCTGCTCTCAAGCTTTTAATCCTCCTGCTTCAGCCTGCGGAGTGTTGGGATTATAGGCATGTGCCACTACACTTGGCCTGGCTTGTTTATTTTTTTAAGCATGTTTTGTTTACATCTTTAGACATATTTTTGGGTTAGCTAGTCTTTATTTTACTATACTTTCTATCCTTATTTTCTCTGTTTAAACTGTGTACCTGTCTGGAATCTGCTCATTCATTCCTCCTTTTTACAAATTTTTGGGTGCAGACGACTGAATGTAGGTCCTTGTGCTTGCTAAGCAGGCACTCTGCTAAGGTAAATCTTCAACCCTGTGGTCCTATTCATTCTTTAAATCCAGACTCTGTGTGTGGGAGTGAATATTTGTGCATGCATGTGTATTTATCTGTGTGTTTATGTGTCTGTCACTGCAGATAAAACTCAGGGCCAAGTCCAGTCTCTTAAAGCCACCTTTTCTATAAAGCCTTTGCAGTTTGCCTCACTTTCTTGGCTGCAGGGTAATTTTTCACTTAAGTTTTTGTAGCATATTGATATCTAATAATGAATATATGTCAGAATTATTTGTGGGAATTTTAAAAGAAGACAGATCCCTAATCCTTAATTCTAGAAAATTTTTCATTAAGTAGGTCTGGGAAGTGGTATTTTAAAAAAAAAAAGTCTTGTGTATTCTCACTTAATCATTATCAAGTTCAGGTTTTTATTAGAGTCCGAGGTGTTGATAAATGTAGCTCATGTCCTTACCCACCATATGAGAGTAAATGATGAGCATAAAGTTTGTGCCATGTTTTTCTCCATAGTTTTATATTTGAGGAATATTCGCAAATGTCTTTTCAAATAGTTGTGCATTTTGGACCTGGAGAAAGTTCTTCAGAAGATGCCGTCATGATGAACACCCCTGTGGTTAAAGCTGCTTTGGAAATGGGGTTTAGCAGAAGCCTGGTAAAGCAGACAGTTCAGAGTAAAATCCTAACCACTGGGGAGAATTACAAAACAGTTAATGATATTGTATCAGAACTTCTTAATGCTGAAGATGAAAGAAGAGAAGAGGAAAAGGAAAGACAAGCTGAAGAAATGGCGTCAGGTATTTGGAAGTTACTTATTTTTCAGTGCTCATAACACAGTCTCATATTGCAGGGTAGCGTTCTTGTCTCCTGTCCACTAAGACCCCCTCGGTAACAACCCCTCAGTCACTTGTAAACAATCTTGCCTGCCCCATCCAGCTCCCTCTAGTTGACTCTAGCATTTTTGCATGTTTATTTTTCTGTTAACATTCCCTGATACATGCTAATCAGAAAATTTTAGCATAGTCTATTTTCTTGAGCTGTGTTGCATTTCTTTTTTTTTTTTAAAGGAAAAAAATCCAAAACAGTATAAGGGTACAAGTAATACAGAATTACAAAAAAAAGGTAAGAAATCACTAGTTAATAGATTGCATATTGTCATCTTAGAAATAGTTGTTCAAGTTACAGGATTAAAGCATACAAAGTGGACATTCAAGCAGTGAGACTGCAAACAGTTATGTTCCGTGATCCAACAAAAACTCAGTAATATGGTCATCTATCTTAACACACCTAAACACACTTGCAGTTATATACTTTAGAGCACATTTTTTTTTCTTCTTTTTTTTTACAACAAAATTTATACATTTTGGGTTTTATTACTCCCATAGTTCTTATTACTTTTTTCTTTTTGGAAGAGAATAAAATCAAATATTACAAAGCAGTCAGTCAAAACAAAGGATAGACATAGAAAACAAAGGATAGACATAGAGCATTTCTTTTCATATGTAATATCTAAATAGTTTTGAAAAGCGAGATTTTAGAATTGGATACAGATCCTTATTTCTGCCTTTTATTTGTTCTTTTGTTTTGGTACCAGGGATCCAACTCATGACCTTGTACTTGCCAGGCAAGTGCTGTGCCTCTGAATCATATCCCCAGCCTTATTTCTGCTTTTTAAAGAAATTACCTCAAATCATACTCTTAATGTGGTATTTTGTTTAGTAATATTTTCTAGGTGATCCTTATACAGAAATAGAATGTGTAAGATGGGCATGGTAATCCTGTAAGACTTAGGCAAGGGAATTACAAATTTCAGTAATCCAAATAGAAAATAAAAAGGGCTTGTGATATAATTCCATGTGAAAGCCTTAGGTCCAGTTCACAGTACAAAAAGAAAAAAAAAGCAAAACAAAAACTTACAGTGAATTCCTAGGTCTTAGTGAGAAACCCCATGCCCAACCCAAGGATACTAGGGAACTAATTAAATTAAATTGCAGTCTCCCAAAACAAGTCTTTTGAGTAATCATTTATTCCTTCAATAAATACTTACTGAGTGCAAGCATCAGTGATAAATACTGTGCTAATTATGGTAATGCACTCAAGGAGCATATAGACTAGCTGAGAGGACTGGTACACAAAAGACAGGATAAAACAGCCAGCAAAGACTTGTAGGTTGTATATATAGTGTATTGGATACTGGGTTAAAAGATGGTTTCCTTTTTAATCTGTAAAATGTTTTTAAGACTAAACTATTTTTGTGGCTGCGGAGCACAAAGGTTTAAGAACTTAATTTCCAAGTTGAGACAAATGTTTTTATTTAAATTCTGACTTGCATTAACCTCTAGATTGGCAGTTTATTCAATTAGACCCCAGCCTTTTTAGTCTGTGAAATAGGGATAATAATAGTGCCAGTCCCATAGGGTTGCTTTAGGAATAAAATAAAATGTTGCAGGAAAGCTTTAACACAGTGCCTGATACATGAAAAATCTTTTTTTCTATTCAGTAGATTCGTTTTGGTTTTTTTTCATGTTAGAATTGAACCGATGGCTTCATTTATACCGAAGCACAAGGTCTGCCACTCACCACATCTCAGTCTCTCCATTAGATAGATTATTTGGGAAGAGGAAGTGGGGTGAAAGACTTAGTGAAATGGCCTATGAAAAGTGAAAAGATTAAGGATTTTTAAGCAGTAATGAAACCCAAGTAAGGTTACATAAAATCACTAGGGTAAATCTAGTCACCTTAGCTTTGTGACTTTCTCCTACTTTGTAGAGGTCAGAAAATAGTCTTGAATTGTGTGTATTGGGAACAGCCCAAGTAAGGAATAGGGAAAAGAGGTAAGCATGCTAAGGAGAGAGAGAGAACACCATTGAAACACCTGACTGACATCTAGATTAGACTGGGAGATAAACCGAGACAGTGCATGGCTCATCGAATCAGGAGAATGACATGGGAATGTTGGAAAGGTGAAGAACAAATTTGTTAGCAGTAAGGTAAATGGGTAGAAGGGTGTGTTGTGGTCAGAGAAGGGCATTTCATAGTTTCAAGATAAATAAAGCAGTTAGAAAAACACGACAAAGGAAGGAAACTAGACTTTACCATTTATTCATTAAACATGTGCATTGTAGAAATGTACTTTAAATTTTTTTTGGAAAGTCTGAAAATAGACAATTTTATAGTTGTTGGAGCACCAAAGGAATGAACTTTATTAAAAATACCTGAAGAATTCTTTTATATATTCCATAAATGTAGTAAAGTAACTATGGGCTTTTGTGTGATTTGAGGTCAAAAGGGAAAACTTTTGCTTTTAAATAAGGTCAAGCTTGATTGGCTGTAATGATATTTTAAACTTTGGTATAAATCTGTACATTCATAAAATGATGGCTAACTGTATGCCACGTGCTGTGCTAAATGCTGTGTGACTATGAGTCGAATTCCATCTCTCAGCTCTTGGAGGAAGGTACTGCTGTCTGTATCTGACAGTACACCTCTGAGCCTGTGGAGAGAGGTTGGGCCACGCGGCCAGTAAGTGGCTAATCACAAATGGGAGCCTGATTCAAGCACTGCGTCAGTGCAGTTCTGTGTAATACTGAAAAGAACACCTGGTTTCGTGGCTTAGTGTGTGTTCTTGGATAAGCCACAAATTCTATTCTGAGTCTTTTTCTCTCAATTTGAAAATGAGACACAGTAGTACCTGCCTTGTTTAATTATCAGGATATTTATATCAAACAAAAGAATTAAATGTAAGTGCTTATAAAAAAGTAAAGAAGGGGCTGGGGATTTAGCTCAGCAGCATAAACGCCTGCCTTGCAAGCAGGCAGTTGTGAGTTTGATCCCTGGTACCGATAAAAAAAGGAAAAAGACCAAAAAAAGTAAAGTGACAACGCAAATAGAAGTCAGTACTAAATCCATGCTGGGATACAGAGATGGGAAATAGTTACTATCTTAAAATTTTCTGCTTGTTTTTAGCAGAATAAAGGAAAAAGCAAGATTCTGGGATGTGTTAGGATATAGATTTAAGAATCATTGAAACATCTTGTATATACTATATAATATGTCTTGGTTTAATCTTTTGACAGTTTTCTAAATCACAGACTTTAAAGTGCAAACAAGTCACTTTCTTATTTTCCAAGCTCTGTTTAGTGACTGAATTGTTTGTAGGGTTGGTTGTTAATGACTATGTGAATGTAGTTGGAGTTTAAAATCTAATAGCTTTTTTCGTTTCTTTCTTTTAAAATGAAGATGACTTGTCATTAATTCGAAAGAATAGGATGGCTCTCTTTCAACGCTTGACAAGTGTCCTTCCTATCCTGGACAGTCTTTTAAAGGCCAATGTAATTAATAAACAGGAGCATGATGTTATTAAACAAAAAACACAGATACCTTTACAAGCAAGAGAACTGATTGACACCATTTTAGTTAAAGGAAATGTTGCTGCCACCATCTTCAAAAACTGCCTAAAAGAAATTGACTCTACATTATTTGAGAACTTATTTGGTGAGTTTGTTGGGGAAATTATTTTAGAAATCTCAAAACTATGTTCCTCCCTCTGCTTGACAAGCAGAATAAATCCAATTAGTAAACTACAATCTATACATTTCACTTGTTTCAAAAAAAGTGTGATATCCCTTTTTGTCCAAAATGTAATAGTTCTTGATAATATATAGATTGAATCAATACCGTTTAGTAGATAGTAGGTTAAAAAGTAGTTTTCTATTTGGTAAAGTGATTTTTTTATATGCTTTTTTTTCCCCTCAGTGGAAAAGAATATGAAGTATATTCCAACAGATGTTTCAGGTAAAGTAGAATTAAGACTTAAAATCAACATGACATATTAACTCTTATTTTTCTTAGGAAAATAAAGTGGAAACTGAATTTCACTAAAGTTGTTTCTGTTATTAGGTCTGTCACTGGAAGAGCAATTGAGGAGGTTGCAGGAAGAAAGAACTTGTAAAGTCTGTATGGACAAAGAAGTTTCTATTGTGTTCATTCCTTGTGGTCATCTGGTAGTATGCCAGGAATGTGCCCCTTCTCTAAGAAAGTGCCCTATTTGCAGGGGTATAATCAAGGGTACTGTTCGTACATTTCTCTCATAAAACAAAATAGGTTATATGTGGGTCTACACAGAAACCTCTTTAAACTATTGTTGCACATTTGAAATTATGTGAAACATAAGAGAAATTATTGGTTCTTGTTAATATTCATGTTCTATTCTGCTTGGTATTAATAACTTTATTTCAAAAAAGGTAGTATTACATATGTAGTCTTAATGTTTAGTTGCAGAAGATTTGTGTTTAATAAGCTGAATTAGTATGTATGGGTGAACATAGGAGTTAAATATGTGCTTGTTTGAATAATTCTAGGAGTTACTGTATTTGGTATTGTTAATGAAAGCTCTGAGTACTAAAAGTACAGTTTGAAAGTACAGTACTGGAAACCAGTAGCTCTGGAATTCATCAGAGTTACGGTGCCAATTTTTTTTTTTTTTTTGTGCTTTTTACTTGTAAAAATGTACTTACATTGTAGCCTGTCACTTTGATTTCCTCTAGTTTGTGAGAAATTTTAATAAAGTATGTTAAAAGGAATTGCATCATTAAAATGTTTTATATCCTGATTTTAAAAAGTTTTCATATATTTTTACTGTACTCAGTTGCTATGAAATAAAACAATTGTGATCTGGCCCACGGATCAATCCGTGGGGTGTACCTGGAGGGGGAACGGGGATTAAATAAAGACATGGGGGAGACAGAGAGAGACTGAGGCAAGTTGAGAGAGTCCAGTCAAGCCCCGTTTTATTCCGGAAGTGATTACATCTTTTATAGGCCAAGGATGGGCTGGTGGGACAGGAAGAGGCTATGGGGATGAATACAACAGGGTCATCGTCACATCCGGGTATGTGACATAAGCAGGAGAGGATTATGGTTAATGTAGGCAGACGCATTGTGCCCATAGGGGAGAGAGAGGCAGGGAGGCAGCAATGGGGCTGTCACGTGGCTTCCTACACAATTGAATTCCTGATGTGAAATATTTTTAAAAATAATACGATTTATATGAATTCCCAGTCTAGTTGCTTTATGTAATAGGTATTTTGAATAAAAATTGAATCAGTATCAAAATCTCTTAATAGTAAAACTAGATAAATCCACATTAGGACTTTTAACAGTGTGAAGGGTGTGACTTCTCTTATTTCTCTCTCAGTGATTTAGTGTGATTAGTGTGTAGGAATGCTATTGATTTTTGAGTATTGATTTTGTATCCAGCTACATTGCTGTATTGACTTATTGTATCTAGGAGACTTTCAGTGGAGTTTTGGGGGTCTTCTATGTAGAGTATCATGTCATCTGCAAATAATGATAATTTAACTTCCTCTTTTCCTATCTTTACCCCTTTTATTTCTCTCTCTTGTTTAATTGCTCTGGCTAGTATTTCCAGTACTATGTTGAATAGGAGCAGTGATAAGGGACATCCTTGTCTTGTGCCTGATTTTAAGGTAAAGGCCTTCAGTTTTTGGCCATTAAATATGATGCTGGCTGTTGGTTTGTCATGGATGGCCTTTATCATATTGAGTTAAAGACCATCTATTCCAATTTTTGTAAAGTTCTTATGATGAATGAATGTTGGACCTTACCAAAAGCTTTTTCTGCATCTATAGAAATGATCATGTGATTCTTTCAGCTTTATTGATATGGTGGATCACATTTATTGATTTAGGTATGTTAAACTATCCCTGCATGCCTGGGATGAATCCCACTCGGTCATGGTGTATAATCTTCTTGATGATTTGCTGCATCCTGTTTGCCAATATTTTATTGAGGATTTTTACATCTGTGTTCATTAGGGAGATTGGCCTATAGTTCTCTTTTTCAGTTGGGTCTTTCTCAGGTTTTGGTACTAGAGTAATATTTGCTTCCAGGAATGACTTAGGATGGATTGCTTCCCTTTCGATTTCATTGAAGAGTTTGAGGAGTGTCGATATTAAGTCTTCTTTGTATTTCTTGTAGAATTCCACAGTGAATTCATCTGGGCCTGGGCTCTTCTTTGTAGGTAAGGACTTAATTACGTTTCCAATTTCATTAATAGAAATTGGGTTGTTCAGCAGTTTTACATCTTCTTGACCTAGCTTTGGTGCTTCATATGTTTCTAGGAATCCATCCATTTCTTCTGTGTTACCGAACCTGTGAGAGTAGAGGTTTTTGAAATAGGTGTTGATGACATTTTGTGTTTCTACAGAGTCTGTAGTGATTTTGCCTTTTTCATTCCTTATTGCATAAATTTGAGCCTTTTCTTCCCTTTTTTAAAATAAGGTTGTCTAGGGGCTTACCAATTTTATTTATTCTTTCAAAGAACCAACTCTTTGATTCATTGATTCTTTGTTTTCTTAGTCTCTGTTGCATTAATTTCTGTGATTTTTATAATTTCCTCCCTTCTTTTGGCTTTGGGCTCAACTTACTCTTCTTTTTCTAGATGTTTGAGGTGTAGCATCAGGTTATTTATTTGTATTCGTTCTGTTTTCCTGACGTGGGAACTTAGTGGAATAAATTTCCCTCTGAGGACAGCTTTCATTGCATCCCACAGATTCCGGTAAGTTGTATTTGTGTTTTTGTTTGCTTGTAGGTATTGTTTCATTTCTTCTTTAATTTCCCTGTGACCCAATGATTGCTCAAGTGTGTATTATTCAATTTCCATGTGTTTGTGGGATTTTTGCAGTTTCTTTTATCATTAATCTCTAGTTTCACAGAGCTATGATCTGATAACATGCATGGGATAATTTCAACTCTTTTGCATTTATTTAGATATGTTCTGTGGGCTAGTATATGGTCTATTTTAGAGAATGTCCCATGTACTGCTGAAAAGAATGTACAGTCTGATGTTGTTGTATGGAACACTCTGTATATGTCTATCAAGTCCATTTGTTCACAGGTGTGATTCAGTTTTATTTTTTGTTTGCTGATTTTCTGTCTGGTTGATCTGTCCCTTGGTGTCAATGGTGTGTTAAGATCTCCTGTTATGATTGTGTTATTGTTTATTTAATTTTTCATTTCTATTAATACTTGCTTTGTATAACTGGGTGCTCTGGAATTTGGTGCATATATATTTAAGATTGTTATCTCTTCCTCTTGAAGTTTTCCCCCTAACCAGTATGTAATGACCTTCTTTATCTCTTCTGATCATTCTTGAAGTTCACATTGTCTGCAAACAGAATAGCTACCCCCACTTTTTTTTGGGTTCTTGTTGCATGAAGTATTGTTTTTATCCTTTGACTTTTAGTCTGTGAGTTTCCTTTTGCATTAGATGGTTTCTTGTAGATAGCGTATGACTGGATGTTGTTTCTTGATCCATTCTGCCAGTCTGTTTGTTTTAATTGTTGAATTGAGACCATTTACATTAATGGTTATAATTGTTATATATTGGTTTATTGTTGACATGTTATCTTTCTGCTGTTGCATCTTTATCTTTCCGTTCTGTTTAATTGTCTGCTTTGCTTAGTGGTTTTTTTTCCTAACTGTATCTAAATTGTCTTTCAGTATTCGTGGCAGGGTTGGCTTGGTGATCATGGAATTCTTCAGCTCGTCTTTGTTATGGAAGTATCTTATTTCTCCATCCATTTTGAAGGACAGTTTTTCAGGGTACATCAGTCTAGGTTGAAATCATTTTCTTATAGGATCTGAAATACTTCACTCCATGCCCTTCATAATTTCACTGTTTGTGCTGAGAAGTCTGCTGTGATTCTGACAGGTTTTCCTTTATAGATGATCTGTCTTTTTCTCTCTAACAGCTTTTAATATTCTATTCTTATGTTGGATTTCTGGGATAGTGATTATTATATGTCTGGGTGTAGTTTTATTTTTGTTATGGTTATTTGGAGTTTTATATGCTTCACTAATCCTAATGTCAGTTTCCATTCTCATGTTTGGAAAATTTTCAGCTATTAGTTCTATAAATATCCTCTTGATAACATATGTTGTCCCCTTCTTTTTCATTTATCCCTATCAATCTTATGTTGTTTTTCTTTGCATCGTCTTGCAGCTGTTGAATTATTTCCTGATTCCTTATTATTTTTAAAAGAGCTTTCCTTTCCTGTTCACTAGCTGCCATCTTGTCTTCGAGGTCTGAAATTCTATCTTTTCTTTCGTTGAGGCGGTTTTGACAACTTTCGATGGAATTTTTGATTTCCTGTGTATCTCTTTGAATGTATTCATGTATTCTATTTATTTCTTAATTGTTCATCCAGGGATTCTTTTTGTTTTGTTCCTCTAATTTTTTAACTGTGTCTTCTTTAGATGTGTTCAGTATCTCTTTCATTACTTTTATCATTTCTTCTTTTACCTGGGAAATTATTTCTAGTTTGAATTTCTTTAAGGCTTCCCAGAGTTGATTCTTTATTTCAGTTGCTATTATTTCAGGTATTTCAGGTTTATGGCTTATATTTTCTTCTATGTACATAAGATAGATCCTAAACTTTGGTATGGGCTGGCAGTTTGAGATTGCATTTTGGCCTTTTGTTGTGTCATTTTCCTATAGTTTGGTGTTTCAAGTGTTGTTCCGAGGTTTCCCCTGGGCCTGATGGAAAGATGCCCTCGGCTTCTGGGCCTGAATGGAGGTTACTGAGCATGGTGCAGTCAGGTCCACAGGACCTCTTGTGCCACCTCCTGTGTTCCACGAAGCTGGGCAGGCACCTAACCACTGTGGATGATGATCCCCAGGCAAGGACCAATGCTCTGGAACTTACTTCATGTGCCCTCAACTCTCTTGAGTGAAGAAGGTCATTGGGCATAATCTACTCAGGCCACAAAACCTCCCACAAAACTTAGTCTAGTATAAGTGGCTGGAAGCTAGGCAGGTCCTTGACCACTGGGGGCAATGATTTTAAACTCTCCCTGGGCTCAAGATGGTGTGCAGACACTCACCTCTGGCCACCCAGTTCCCCAGATTGAGAGAAGTTCACTGAGCATGTGGCCCAGGCAGGCCGGAAAGCTGCAGAGCCAGTTGAGAGTGGCTGGAAGCTGGGCGGTTCCTTGACCACTAGGAGAGATGATCTTAAACTCTCCCAGGGCTAGGGATGGTGCGACTCTCCTCTCTGGCCGCCCAGTTCCCTGGATTGATTGAGAGAGGGTCCTGATGTTATCATTTGATAAAAATACTTTGGTTTGATAATATGTACACAGTGAGCACAATACTTGGTTTTTAATTTTGAGAAAGTCCTTTTTATTGGGTTTTTTTTTTTTTTTTGGTTTCTTTTGATCTCATGTGTAAGAACCCATTGTTAAATCCAAGATTGTGAAAATTTACCCCTATGTTTTGAGAGTTTTGTAGTTTGGTTTTTATATTTAGGCACTGATCCATTTTAATTTTTGTATATGGCTTGCAGTAAGAGACTAACTCTGTTCTTTTGGATGTGAATATCCAGTTGTCCCAGCACCATGTGTTGAAGACATTTTCCCCATTGAATGGGCTTGACACCCCTGTCCAGTATCAGTTGAGCTATGGGTTATGAGGTTGTTTCTGGGTTCTTAGTTTAGTTCCACTAGTCTGCATCTATTCTACTATCAGTGCCAACATTTACAAAACAAAACTTACTGTAGTC